CCAAGAAGAAGACGAAGAAAGAATAGTTTTATTGTTGAAACAGCATCGTTTTGTTTTTATAGTGCAGTTTAGAACGACGTCGTCGTAACTCAATCTTATCCACATAACGCGAGGGGTAAAAAGGTAAGTTAGCAATAATCTCAAAACAGGAGGGAAGATTAGAAGAGACGGAGCTAACATGCAACTTCTAACGAATTAAATCGAGTAATAAACTTTTAGTCTATATTTATTAATAAGGATTAATAATATTTATATACTTTTCACTCAATGAAAAAAATGTAGAAAAGAAAAACCTCCAGCAGTATACATATATATGGCCAAATGGGTGCAAAATAAAATCACATTTTCTTTCTTTTTTGTATTCCATTTATTTAACCTATATATCTCTTATATGTAATTTTTTGTTAAAATCTCTTATATGTAATTATCCCTCCGGTCGACAAACTCATTTCGATGACCCGGTATTCCAACCAAAGCTCCGACTAAAACACTCGGATCTGCCTCGGACTGTATGTACCAATTAGCATATCCTTTAGTGCATCCAATTGAACTTTGTATTCTTTAAAATAAGCAATCGATATTTGTGTTTTAGATGGAAGACATCCTAAGACAAGAATACATGTGGAAACGTGGACTAAGATTTATCCTCAAGTGAGTGTTTTCTGTTTATAATTTACTTATAGAAGTAAGCAAGCAAAAGTTTGGTTTGATTTTAATACATGTCTTAATATTTGGTAAATGGCAGGATGACTTCGGGAGCAGTCTACTCAATAGTGATGCATATTTTCCTCATCACCGTATACTCTTTGCTAATTTTTCAAATTTTCTATACAAGCGGGTTTGTTCTCGGCCGGGTTATCGATAAAATTGGCTTCTTCGTCATGTACCTTATGCTCGGCTTAGTGGAAATTGCATTGAGAGCGTCTATTAAGGAGGAGTCTATTGAAGACCGGAGGTGTGTCACAACGTTCGGGCATCTCAGCCATATGGTGGGATGTATTTTGCTCTCCGAGTACATGGTTCCACTACATCCTATTGAGGCTTTTGCGTTTTTTTTTCCTAAGAGGACCATTCTTTTTGTGGTGTTTTTACATTTTATTTTTCTTTTGTATTCCAGAGTTTCTGGAAGATGACTCCTTAATCCAGCCACTGGTTTAATCTTTTTTTCCCCAAGTTGAGAATTTTCATTTACTTTGCTTCCCTTGTGTGGAAAAAAACAATGAAGTTGAATTTAGGGCTTTCTTTTTGATTTTAGGGTTGAATTAAAGTATTTTTATTAGTAGATCTGTCAAAGTATATAAGACCTTCTCCATGGAGAGGTTCTTCACGAGGAGTTCTACAAAAAAAAAATATTAATATAAATAGAGTGGATATCTCAAAATAATTGAAAATCTTTATCAAAAGTATTTCAAATGATAACTTTGAAATACTTTTGTAAGGGATTCTCAACTATTTGAGAGACCCACCATATTTTATATTAATATTTTTTTTTGTAGAATCTCTCATGAAAAACTTCCCCATGGAGGTGCTCTAATAAACCAACTAGAATTACTTCATCGGACTACTATTAGTAGATCTGTTCAAAACTAGACGGAGGTGAAATATGACTTATCAATAAAGAAAAGGATATTTTTATAAGAATATGCAATAATAGGCTTTGAACCCACAACTTGTCTTAGGGCAGTAAACAAAGTAGAGTTTGATTCTTGTAACTAAGATTCGTATGTCCATTGGTAGTCTTTCATTGAGTCTCTTACTATTAAATAAAGGAAAAAAATAAAAACTTAAGAGAGAGAGAGTGAGATATGGTTCTCAAATGAGAGTTTTGAGAACATTTGATGAGAGACTCTTGCATATGTATTTCTTTGTGAGTGATTCATATTTTAATTTTTCATTAAAATTTAATTATTTAATTTAATTATTTAAAAATATTAATTTTCTATTCTTGAGAAACTCTTTTTAAGAAATCCACCGATGTACATGGTCTCAGGGGTTCTCAACTTTTTCTTATTTTGCGTTCCTTATAGTGAGGTTATAATCGATATTTATTGTCTTGTATCTGGAAGACATCCTCATAGAAAGACAGTACA